GTTTAGCTGAAAGGTGGAACTAAAATAAAATAGGATTATTAATTATTAAAATAGGAAAATTAATTATTATTTTATACTAAAAACACGAAGCGGCAAAGCAGAAAATGTTAACAACGAATAAAACATTACTACAATTACTAATAAAAGCTATTTTAATAATTTGTTCTTCATTTGCTTGAATATAAAATATTACAAATCTACACGAATAAAATGAATATATTTCCTCGTATTAATATTCTAATTATTGACAAGATCGCTTTTAAACTAATTTGTGTAATGTACATGAAGTATTTACAAAAATTATCTAACTTAAAATATTGTAGATATCAATAAATTTCCGTGAATATTTATATAATTTTAATTCAAATTTTTATGTTAAATTAGCTTCATTAGTTCAATTTATTTAGAAAACATAAACAAATCAATTTAATCGAAATATTGTCAATAGTTCGAATATAAAATTTGACATATAAATATAATATCAAGTTTTATAATTAAAAAATAAAAAGAAACTAAATTTGGAAATGTTATGCAGTCGACATGTACGCACCTTTTCAATCAGCCCAGACTCACTGCTTTGTTCTTCGATTAAACGTATCGATCCATAAATCATTTTTGAGCAATAATTTTTTTGCTCGAAGTGTTTACATATTCTACAGTTCCAGTCACAGCGGACTTGAGATGATAGAATAATAAATAATGACGATGCAAACATCCAGGGTGATTAAACGTAGGTATTTATATATGGTGATATTACACAAATGCATGCGGAAAAATCAATATTTTAATATACAATATTAAAAAGCTTTGATGAACAAAGAATATATACTCAGTTCCATTTATATTATTTATCTAGTTAAAATGAGATTGTATTGAAATAAATTTTCATTTTTATAAAGCACTAAATAAACAATATAAATCTGCATAATTCATATAATATCTACTTACACAACAATAATTCTTTTCGTGTGCATTAATATCACAAATCAAAATTTGACAATCACTAAAGTCATTAAAAATAAATTTAAATATCTAAAATAAGATAAAATTAAGACCTCACTTTCTTTCATTTTAATATAATGATTGTGTGAATTAAATTACCAAAAGATTAAACAGGCATTCGATAATACCGTCTTAATTCAGCTTAAGATCTATAAATTATTTACTTAATAAATATTTTTTATTAAAATAGCTAATTTTATTAAAGTTTAATTACCAAATAAAAATTTAGATAAAATTATCAATAACTTGTTTTTGAACCCAAAAAAATGAAAGAATATTTAGAAATTTATAATTTCCCTTTTATTATCAACTTAACATACACTATTTATAATATAGAAAAATATTTAATCAAGTAAAAAATTAACTAGGAAATTCTAATTTTTTAATACAGAATAAGTACTACTTGAAACAGTGACATCTAAGAAAACTGTTATTGAAAAGTTAGGTATTTACAATTTTCAATTTTAGAAAATTTAGATAAAAATGTTAATGTAATAGATAGGGAATGATATTAATTTTTAAATTATTGAAAGTATAATACATATTTTAAACTATTTATATTGTACTAAATTTAAATTTTATTTTAAAATATGATTTACATTTTATGAAAAACAATTATTTTGAAAGTTTTATATAATTCAGTGTATTCCGCCCCTTTATAAATATAAAAAGAAGAAACTTAAATACTATCATAATAATATAATTTAGATGATTTTAATTCAATAAGTTAATAAATAAATTGAAAATTTTCATTGTAGTTATAATTTAGAGCTTTATTTATAAATGTTACCAATAAATACAGTATTAATCTATAAATAAAAATTTTGTTACCTATAGTTAACAAATTTTTATTACAAAATAATTCTTTTGTTGATTATAGTATTAAGACTCTTCTTACATTTAATATACAAAGCAATGCATTTGCAATGTACATATACAATAATGCTCTATTTTATAGATTTACAAATGAATAATTTTAAATCTATTTATAAGAAAGGCATATATATCATAATTACAATCATAACTCATAAAATCAGTGCCTTAATAAAATATTTTAAAAAAATAGAAAAAAGTAGAATATGTTAATATATTTTCTATAACAGAATATATATATATATTCTGTCTCTATAAATTTTCTATTACAATAAAAATTAATTCCACTTACTCATGTATGAAAATATTATAATCGTATTTATTCATATTTTATATTATGATATATGTCCATAAAGTTTAAAATCATTTTTTCAATTTTTTCTTAAAAAATATGTAAACATTATAAAATTTCCTCTTTTTTAAAAATAAAAAAAAAGTTATACATTGTATCAACGTTCTACATTGAAGTTATTAATAATGCGAATTACATTTAGATTGCACTAATGTCCGATTAGATTTTAGTTAATTATAACATTTTTTTTATAATTAACAGAGCTTATAAATTTTAGTTTGTAAGCAATATATTTTATAATGGAGCAACTTATTTAATTAAAAATATTAAAATCTTAAAAACGGTTAACATTAAATGCATTATTAAATTCAAAATAATTTATATTTTTCTCTAAATACATATTGAAACATAAATTAATTATAATCTAATGAAAGTATTCCTCTGCAATGAAACTATTTTATATTAAAAAACAAATTATTCTTGTTTTTAACGCATAATTAATATTATATTTTGAATTATAGAATAAATCTTTAGGCAGAAGGAACATATATATCAAACTAATTATTTTAGACATAGTTGTCAAATTTTGTATAATTTTGAACCTATGTCATCTTTATAAGGTGAAAATTAATTACAAAACTTTCAAAATTGTAGAGACTTTTAACAAAAATATTTTATTCTTATTTACAAATTCAAAATTAGTTTCTCAATATTTAATTTAATATATAGCATATCAAATATTGCAATAAACATTTCTACTATAAAGCATTATATACAAATTATAGCTTAATTATTAAAATTTTAATATGGTTCTCTATAAAAATTGCTTGACGTATAGCAATTTTAATACAAAATTTCTTTAATTACAAACATTTAGTTTGTTCAAATACATAATTTACATTTATCATAAATGGAAATAAAATGAATCATTTCATTTAAATTGACTTATTTATTACAAATTAATTACTTATTACATCAAATATGTAATAGGAATTTAAGTAAAGATGATATTAAATTAAAATGGTTTACCATCCCCTTTACTATGGTATTAATCGATTCTAAAATTTACTTGTACTTTTTTTTACAATGATACTGCCCTTATGTAATTTATACATAACTTTTATATGCTATTATTATTTTTGTACTGAAAATTATGTCAAAATAGTCACGGATTAATATTATATAATATAATTTATATTGTTCCTCAGTTTAAAAGAAATTTATTTCTTGAGTTTATGAAATCATGATGTATGATTCAAGATAATTTTACAACGATTTTTATACATAAGAAATATTTTTGCAATATTGCATCATTTGGAAAAAATCTGTAAATTTCAAAATTACATGCGCTAACGACGCAATGTGATTGTCATAGCTTTTAAAGAATTTACTATATTATGATTACTTTTTGTTCATCTAATGCCAATTCTTTTAACCAAAGCGAGGAAATTGCTCGATTTTCCGACTATATAATGTTAGTTAAATATAGTTTTTTTTTAATTATTTTCCATGTATTCGAATTTTTTAACTGATAAAATAGATTTTACTTAACTGTAATAACGATTTTTAATTATAAATATGTAAACTTAATTATATTTATTAAAAATTATACATCTATTGATTTAGTTTGAATACAATACGTTGTAATAGAAATTTCAATTATTTAGTTAAATCACATAATTCTCTGTAAAATAGTAATAACCAAGTTTTTATTATTAATTTAAGTAAAATTTTACTTATGTAAAATTCATTCATAAAATTGAATTATTTTATAAATTTTAGTATAAATAACTTCACAAGTATATTTTTTAAAGTTTGCAGTTTTAATAAAAAGTTTTTTCCTTTTTAATTATAAATTCTATTTATTTTTAACTTCAGTTACATGCTCATAATTTTATTAATAACTACGTATGATAAAAATTCCAAATTTATATTTTTGTAATAAAAATATTAATAATTCAATTCGTTATTTAAAATTTTTATAGTAACGTAAAGAATGTTATAATAAAATATTTTGTAAGCATTCAAAATTAATTAGTGTTATCTAAAATACATTAATATTTATATATGTGTATGTTTGTTACTTTTAGTTAATAATGTAATATATTTTAAAAAAACATAATTTTAATGAAGAGAAAATATTTATTTATTTAATATTGATTTATAATCAAATAGGTTAATATTGGACAAAACATTGAGTTGAAGTAAGAGTTAAAATAGTTTTAATTACTTTCATATTGTACAGTTTTCAAAACACAACTTCATTTGTATTATATTTATTTGAAATGAAAATGCAATATACATAATGATTTAATTTAAACAATATAAAAAAAAACTATTAAAAAATCATATATATTAAATATTTGGAAATTCTTTCTAGAAAAATATCAATATTTATATTTATAAGTAAAAAAATATATTCATGAATGTATTAAATTAAATATTAGCTTAGCCCAAAATTTCTTAAAATAACAATTTTACGAGTTTCTAAACAATTTTTTTTTTGAACACATGAAAAGTTACTTATTTCAGTTAAATAATTCTGAATGAACAACTAGAATATTATTCATTATTTATGTTTTATATATAATTTTAATAAATTTTTGCTCACTAAATAAAATTCATTAAAATTTTATTAGTGCTTAAACGAAAATATTTTTAAAATTATAAAGGATAGTCATGCATATTTTTATTTAAATTACAAAATTGATTTAATATAAATATATAATTTTTTTTCGATTTTTATGTTAATATTAACTTGGTAATTCAATAATAATTGTATTTTAAATTTATTTTAAGAGCAAAGTTTTTGTAGAATTATCAATTTCCTTGCTTTGGTTGTAAATCAAACAACCGTTTGAATTAAATACTGCAAGATCTTAATCTAGTGAAAATATAGTTTAGAAAAATTTAAAACAAAAATTAAAATACGATAATTATACAAAACAAAAAGGAGTTCCCTACGAAGAGGGGTGTATTCCTAAAACGTGAAATATCTTGTTTTTAAAACCAGGTTTGTTAGGACTAGCGTCATGATGTCCGGACTGTCCTTCGTGCATCAGCGCCCTCTGTACCACTGTCAAGGAGCCCTTTTGCAGATCATTCGAATGTGTTGTGTATGGTCCCGAATTGATCACAGAACGGGAGCCCGGTAACGAAACAAAGAAACAAAAAAAGAAAGAAGAAAAAGGAATAGTAGACAAACTAATGGATAATTAGTTGTTCTAGTAAAACAAATATAAATACTATTTTTTATCTACGTGCATACGGTGCCATATATATACAATATATACTACACAATTATATTACTCATACTGCTATAAAATTAATAACAATAATAAAGTGAACAGAATTATTATTAAATGTTCTATAATCTAGGAAGAGAAGAATTTTATTAATATTATAATATCCTACCTATTTTAAATGAAATCTCACCTCATCATGTTGCTCGTGTTCGCTATTGTTTAAACTTGACCTCGAGCCTCGACGATTTGTTCCTTTTTCATCACCCAGAATTTGTGCAACTTTCGGCTGCTTTACCAAGTCTAAAGCCTATGAACAAGGAGATAAAAATATTTTTAAAATAAAAATAGCGATACGTTCAAGGTATTAACACTGAAAAAATAACAGAGAATTTTATTCTTAATCATCTTTTTAAAACTATAACTTTATATAATATGAATGATAATAATGAAAAATAACCATTTTCATATTTGAGGAAAATAAAAAGGCGTTAGAAATTTTTTAAGTAAATGTTTTTTAGCAATTTATATTTATTTTGTAAATTATATAAATTAATATAATGACATAATTTAATTTAATGATAGTGATAGAGATTATTTTATATTATTTTAAAAGCCAAAGTAATCAAATTTTACAAATTTTATGTTCATATTAAATTACTTTTTTATTATTTTAAAAGATTTACGAAATATCTACTATTTATTTATTTTAATATTTATTTATATATAATTAAACATTGATAAAAAATAATTATTATAAAACAAATTTCTACATTATTCATTAACTAAAATATAAAATAAAATTTTTATTAATTTCGTTTGTTGAAAATTTCGATGAATTAAAAAATTATTGTGTAATAAAATAATATCAGTAATGGTTTATTTTAGTTTATATAAACATTGCAACTGATAGTATTATAGATACATAATTACATAAACATTAGTATTCTGTCGCTTTCATTTTTATTAAATTCTATCTACAATAATATTAAAGCACTTAATATTATCGATATTATTATTGATATATTAATATTAGTTTATTATTAATGCAGCAATATTCTTGTAATGTTTAAAAAAATAAACAAATTAAATTTTAGTATTTAAGTTAAATTAGTTCAATGATTCATGTTATACGATACGTTTACGATAAATAAAATACGATGCATAATTTAAAAATCAAACAAGACTAAAATTTAGCAAAGGAAGCATTGATCTATTTTAAAATAATTCAATTTTTTAATTTTAAATACTTTTTAAAATCTTAATATAACAATTATTATTTAATTTTTTGGGTTAAATTTTAAACATTATTTTTAAAATATAAATTATCTATCGCCATACTTTCATAAAAACATAGTTAAATTAAAATTATAATTAATATTATACAATTTATTTAATTTAAATTGATTATATATATAAATTGTCTGTACTTAATTTATACTTTTAAAATTATAATATTAAACGGTTATTTATTTTTGAATAAAATGAACATTTATCATAAAAATTTATTACTTTTTAACTATGCAAAATTTATAAAGTTTAAAATTTAAAAAGTTTAATGTGTATTATTATCTCATATTTAATCATAAATGTATTCTTAATATGTGAATTTCACCAAAAACAAATTAAGAAATATAATTATATAGAATTTTTTAGCTGAGTAATAATACGACAGAATATGTAAAAATCTCGTAACCTAAAATAGTTTAAATTAAAATAATTTAAATTATAAAATAGACTAAAATGTTTAAGAATCGGTTGCCATTTACAAAAATACCTTAATATCAAATGCATGTGAAACTTCAAATAGATTAAAATATATAATTAATTAAATATATTAATATAGTAATATATTTTACAGCCTCACATTTGCTTTCTGACTCACCTGCTGTACAAGCTGCTTGCAACAAAAGAATTAATTCATTCATCAATATCAATCATTCATATCACTACACAATGAATATGAATGTATTTTAATATTATGAAATTTAAAACACTTCAATATTATATTTTATTATAATTTATTTTATTTTCAAACTGATAAAAAGTATTGGATATTTAACAAAAATTATTTAATAGACTATACCTCTCTTCGTGATCGAATGGCACAATCTTCTAATGTATCAGCAGCTTCGTACTTGCCCTGTCTTCGATAAAGTGCACCAAGATTTTTGAGAGTAGTGTTGAAAGTAGGAGAATCAACCTTTGCTGCTTTGTGCCAGCCACCATATTCTCCATAAGGAGCATTCTCCTTATTTCTATGTTTATTTTCTTCTCTTTCTTCTGCTACCTGTTTGGAAATAGTAAAAAATCATTCTCTAACTAGTTTTAGATAAATTCGAATAATAATAAAGAACTATTCATTTCAATTCATAATCGATATATATATATTTATATATATACAAAGTATTAAGACCAGTTATGATAACAAACATTATTTTTATTTTTAATTAAATAACTTATTAACTTATTCATTCTTTTTTTATAGAAAAAATGAATTAATACTTTACAAATAAATTTACTTTTTAATTTAATATATATTAAAGTTGATTGAAAAGACAGTGATTTTTTATACGACATATTTATCTAAAATTTAATTTTTTAAAAATGTAATACTTTTTGTCTATAAATTTCATAATAATTTGAACATAAAGTTATTAAATGTATTAATATACGTAAAAAGTAGTAAATCAATTATATTCCTAATTAAGTATAAATTGAATGAATAATAAATATGCAAGTAACAAAAATGATTGATGTATAATTTTTTATGTAAGTTAATAATTATGAAACAAGCATATTAAACAAAATTTATTACGTACATTAATACGCAATAATTAATAAATAAAACATTTTATAGTTTTTAATAGAATGTTAACCTCATAATAATTTGGTGTACTAATAAATGATGTATTACACAACCTGTTTATTTATAGCGATAAATGTTTATATTTTATATAAAAATAATTACTATAGATATATATGATAGTTATAATTTATATTATCTAGAAATTAACAATTATGTTAAAAATAATCCTTATCTCTGACTACCTTAAGCTTAAAAATTACAAGAAAAATAAAATATTTTCCATTGGTTTCTTCCAACACTGAATTGTATAAGTCAACGAAGAGCATCTGTCTTGAAACTGCTGTTATTAGATGCTCCTAATTAATATATATCAACTATTAGCATAATTGCTGCCGAAGCTAAGACAGAATTAATATATCTTTTAAATATTTTTCAAATTTATGATCTTGAATAATCATGTTTTCTATTAAAAATGAACATCTGCTTTCTTGTGTGGATATATAATGCTGCGCATTGTCTCAGTATCTTACGGCTTTTTGCGTAGCAATACTTGTCGTGTCATTACAGTAAAAAGTGACTGTCTACATTTTTTAATAAATACTAATTCAGATACTACTAATGAAAATAAATATTCCAGTCTTATAATACCGGACATGTGGTTAAGTGATTTTTAAATTATATAACGATTTCGTAAATTTGCTAAACGACATATTTTCTAATGTTAGCTATCTGATCGGATTTATACAAGATTGCATTCAAGTTATGGACTCAGCTCACCAACTAGGAAGGACCTATGTAATACTAAAATTCGTACTAATAAATTGTGTTTACGCTAAAATGTAACGACTGTAATAAACCATACTGATTCTAAGCCTGTTTCACTTGTTGCATTAACATATGACAACAAACCAAACAAAAACAAGGCAACGACAAAGAAAATTAACTGTTTTAATCTATATCATTAGCTTTGTATCTACCTATCTTTTTATAGATGTAGGTATTCTCAGAATATTTACCACTTTATTGCATCTAGATGAGGTTATTGTTATATAAGCATAAAAATACGCTATATTAATCCAGTCCGTAACGCTAAAATTTAGACCTTTTTGACCCAATAAAATGTCATATCCTAATATAATATTACTTTAGATAGTAACATATTGCTGAAAACCATTGTAGTCATCTTGAGATTAGAATATGGCCTTCGATATTTATTAATCCTACAGCACCTGCTACAGTTTTTTGAAGAGAATATACAAATTATTTATATTTGGCACGAATAAAGATGTTATCGATAAGTGGCAGTCTGCAAGATTTGTGTAAGTTCACGCTATTATGCAAACCATCAATTTTTTTACCAATTTGATTTAATAGATTTAAGAATTCTCCGCTAAATTTGATATTGTACTGAGGTCACATTACTATTACAGCTATATTAATAGTAAGTATCATATTATCGATAACATTGTACTCTAACTTAAGAAAACCTAATTCACTGCGTTCTAGCCTCATCTTCTATCATATTTACATTATACTTTATATAATAATATTATAATTTATTTCATTAATTCAATAATTTTATATTTGTACAATTAAATGAGATTTTTTCTGACCACTTACATTCATTTTTCACTTCTTTATGTTCTTTTTTTACGTGTCGCTATTTGTAAAGATTGTGAAAATAAGCATGTAAATTTATTATGCATAATTTTTTTAAAAAAAATTAGTTAAATATCAAGTAAACCTTATATTATATTATAAACATATTAACCTTATATTTGACTACGTTTCATCTTCAATTTTTATTCTCAATACCAAATAATTTACAAATTTATAATATTTATAATATATATAAATATTTATTTTGAAATTAATATCTTTGAACATTGGAATATAATTACAGTAAAGTTAATTATTCTAAATAAAATAAATTAGTTCTTATGTAAAATAAAATTAATGATTAAAACAATGAATAAATTTAAATATATTGATAAAACATAAAAAGACTGAAAAATCTTTTTCAATTATTTAAATTAATACTTCCACAAAAATCGTGTTTTTATTATTGCATTATAAAATTTTATATTAAGTAAAGATAGAGCAATGTAAAAATAAATATAAATTGAATTATCTTAAAATTATATTTCTAATATTATTGTTGATTGTTATCTTCATTTCATGATGTTGAATTATAATACAAAAATTAAAAAATAATAATAATAATGAATATTACTTTTATAAATAGTCATAAATAGTTATAAAACGGCCATTTACTTGAATATGGTTATAAGATTAAAGTTTCTAACCTGCCAAATTGGTTTGTTATCACCATCAATAGCACCAAATTCCCTCTCGTGCGCCCTAGTAAGCACTTGTTTGTAAAGCACCTCCGCATCTTTGTATTTTCCCTGTTTAAGGTAGCACGAAGCCAAATTATTTTTCGTTTTTGCAACGTTAGGGTCATCTGGACCAAGTTTTGCTTCATAAATTTCAAGAGCTCGTTGATAGTATCGTTCAACTTCTTCATATTTGCCTTGATTTTGACATAGTAATGCAAGATTATTTAACTGTTTTGCGACGTCGGGATGGTCTCTGCCTAATACTTTTTCACGGATTTCCAATGCTCGCTTACAAAGTGGCTCGGCCTCTTTATATTTACCTAATTAAAAAAATATTTATAATAATGTTATATTATTACAGCTTTAAATATTTAATTTCCAATTTTTTAATAATTTTTAAAACTAATATAAAAAATGAAATTCATAATTGTTTCGAATATTTACTAACATAAGATGTTTGAGAAAGAAATTGAGATGTAGCTAGAATCTATAAATATTAGTTATTTGGATTATGTCCCATGAATATAGTCTAACAGTGGAAAAAACATGACTGAATGGGTTATTAAATTTATGAAGATGATACGGGTTTAACCAGTACGAACAATTTTGTTATAAACACAAATAAAGAATAAACTAATCTTGTGCGAATATCAAGAATGATAATGAAATTGCCAATATTATCTTTTATGCGTTTGTGTAACAAGTATATACTAATATTAGAGCAGCACTCTCTCCTTTAAAAAAAAAAAAATAGAATATAAATAAATTAAATAATATAATATAAATTAAAATAATGCGATATTGAATTCAACATTTTTCCATAAATATGTTGTGTGTAGTAACCACAATATAATAATATTAATCAGAATTACAATTTATACATATAGAAACGATTAACAACTTCGCCAATGAAAAATTGACTAAAAAAGAAATAAAGTCATACGGTAATTCATGAAATAATATACTGCGAATGATTTTAATGCAAATAAAATTTACAATTATTAAGCCATTAATTAGATCATACTATCAATCTTATTATAAATTTTTAAGTCAAAATAAGTCAAGATCCAAATTTTTCTATATTCCTAAAAAATGCTGGACATATCAAATTATTTTTCGAGCTCAAGAGTTGCTATTGTATACGATAAAAGCAGTAACAAAAATCATACTAGAACTTAAAATCTCATAATTTGTGAATCAAATTTGATAATTTGTGGTTTAAAAACTACCATATTTCATGATTTAAGATGTTCTATTTTACTATTATGACATTCGAAGTAAATTCTTTGATGATAAACTAGGAAGTGCTATAATTAACAGAACTTGATTAAAAAATAAACATGTCCAAATAAAAGTATCTGAAAATATTTTCTTAGAAATAATAAATATAATGTAAATTGTAACAAAGCAAAATTGATATAAAAATACTTAATTGATCGTATCAGTCGAGGGTAACGTAATATAATTATATACATAAGCAACCTTTGTTCAAAAATAGCGTTTTCACAGAAGAAAGGACTATCGTTTATCAGTATAGAAGTATGTATAATAACCATGGTTCCGCGAATGAAAACTGAGTGTTTTCGACCAGTTAATAAGGTACTCGTGAGCTGAATAAACTTTGAAGGTAAACAAATTTTTAAATTTAATTAAAGATCTAATAAGTAATATCGATTTTTCGGGAATTTTATTTTTATTTATTTATTTCAGAGATATTAATAATTTAATAATAATATTCAAAAGCAATTAAATGTACATTTTATTACACCTTATCGTAATCTACGTCATAAATTATATTTAAAAATCATACAATGCCTAGTAGACTTAATCGTTATACGTAAACTAATAAAATAATTCTGCAGTAGTGTTTCTTAATATTATGGGTGCAAAATTAATTATTAAATAATTAAGAACCAATGTGAGAATAAATATGCCAAGAGAAAAGTATGTCAAACTATAGTTTTTATTGATATTTCGAATATTATTAAAAATATGTAACTAATGTAATAATATCTTAACTCTTTTTGCAAATGCACTTGATGCAAATGTAGTAAAATATGCAATGTTAAATCATTCGTTGTCATATTTTGATTCTAATTGAATAGATCTTTTGAACACATAATAAATGACTTCGTAATTACTATATACATATATAGTTTAGTTATATGACATCGTCCTAATGCTACTTAAAAAATTAAGGCATATAATAAATATGCACGCCAATAAAAAGAAATATCAAGACAGAATAACGTTTACATTTCTAGATTAAATATATGTATTTTTGAAATAAAAATACTTATTTGCAAAAATATTACCGGAATTGAATCCTTGTACTTTGTGATTAGTAACTTAAAAGAAACTCTATATAACTTAAATAAAATTACAAATGTTGATAGATTAAAAAACATTTAAGAATAATACTATAGAGTAATTTTATTTTATTAAACAATATTAGCTTAAAATAAAGTGTTCATATTCTTACTTTAAATTGAAAATCGATTACGATTTAAAAATAAAAATAAAATACTTACCTCTTTTTCCATAAAGTACGGCTAGATTGTTCAAAGTAGCTGCAACTGCTGGATGATTTTCACCAAGAGTTTTTTCTCTTATTGCCAAAGCGTCATTTAATAAATTTGCAGCTTCCTTGTATTTATTTTGATCTCTGTAAACTAATGCAAGGATGTTAAGCATCGTTGCAACATCTGGATGATCATGTCCGGATGTTTTTTCAAGATCCTCGAGAGCTTGTTTGCAAAGTGGCACGGCCACCTCATATCGACCTTGACTTGCATATTGTATCACCAGGTTATGGAGGGTACGCAAACGTGCCGGAATTTCATAACCAGCCGTTACTTGATGAGCAAATTGTGAAGGTGGTGTTGGCGACATAGCTACAAATATTTAACAATCATCCTTACACTAGAATTATTTATTATTATGCGCAATAGTGTCAATATGAATGCTTATGGATGAATGTTAAAAACCATTTTTTATTATAAAGAAGAGCGTATTCCATTTTTTTTTCAATTTAATTAAAAAATGTTTATCCGACGTACAAAAATTTTGTTAATCATATTTCTTTACTTTATCTACACCGTAAATTTCATTGATTATATTTAGATTTTACCTAAATAATTGTGTACATAGACTTATTTGTTATTAATTTAAGTAAGTAATAAACTGGTAAATTATTTTTAATATAAAATTTTTTATACGTCAAATATTTAAATCAAAATTTGATTAAAATCATATTTTATTTTATTATATAATTATAAATTATTATTTAAAAATTAAGTTCGGAAACCAACTTGCAAAAGAAAAATCGTTAAAAAATGTATTCCTATGTACATGTTTATATGCATTACAGATGAAAACAGGTAATATCTTAAGTTATTTTCATCAAGGTAAATTCATAAATTAAAATTCTGAAATATAATTCTTATATTTAAAAATAATGATATCTTGGAAACTGATGTAAGATTGATGAATTATTTGAACAATTGTTAAAAGTTATTTATTCATTTTCAAGTGTAAGTCATTCATTACAAAATTACAGACTATTTTTTTCTTAAATATTTAATTAATGATTGTTTTATTAAATGTTTATAAATGCTTACATTATGATGTTACTAAGTAATAAAAACTATGACGCTATTAGCATAAAATGTACACATATTTTTAACGAAACTAACGTTTCTGAATATTGCAGGTTTTTAATAATACCATATCATTTAAAAGACACTAAATCATAAATGAAGTCATGATTACATACACTTACTGTTTCTTTCCTCGGTATCATCATCAGGGAAAAGATCAACGACTGGATCATCTTTCGGTCGATCTTTAGCGTTTTCTTCATCAGCCGGTGGATCAGGATCATATTGTCTCATACTGGCCATAAATTCTAAATGACTTCTCTCTTCTTCAAGTTGTGCCACCTATCGATACATTGTATGAAATTAATTTTAATGTACTATACTATTATATACTATGAAAATAATAAGAATAATAAATGAAAATGCTTAACTTTATTCGATAAGGAAGAAAAATATTTAATTATTAAATAGAAAAATTATTGTTTATTAATAAATAAATTCTTTAAATAATAATAATTGATTATCGAATAATCAAATTTTATTGGAAATTATTTTATTTATATCAATATTAATTAATGATTGAAATTAATAGACTCTAATGTTATTATATAAAAATATTTACCGGATTTCATTTATTAAAAGAAAGTTTTTAATCATAAATCCAAAAGCTCTATTATGTAAAGATATATTAATAGTGTCATTAATATAATTAGGTTAATATATTGTCGAAGAAAAAACGGTTTAATAATTAAATAAAAGTAAGAATTACCGCTTGTTCGCTAGCTTGTAATTTTTGTTGAGTTCCGGCAAGTTCATCTCTGAGCCAGGCGTTTTCTTGACACAGCCTCCTCACTTGTGTTCTTAGTTTTTGCTTTTCGGCTTCAACCATTTGCAAGTGACTAGCCAGTGCTAGCATGACTTGTGCCTCACCCATCCCGAGCTCAATCATTTCGATGTTCTTGGAGATAAGATTAGCCTTATCACGGGCAGTCGGTGCTTCCTGAGATTGCAAGCCATTTAATAAGCCGGTGTGTTCGACGCGTAAAGCCTCTAGACCCTGTGCAACTGTACGTGCACCCGCTGTAATTTCTTCTTGTGTCATGGCTGTCATTCTACCAATATGCTCTATCTTTTTACTGAAATAAATTACAGTTTACAGATTTATAGTTATAATTAGACAAGTTATTATTTTAATTATATAATTTCCTAAACATATTAAGTTAAAATTAATTCATTATTGAAGAAAGCGTGTTTAATAGAATAACCATGTAATTTTTTATTGTAATTTTAAGAACTTTTTATTAGTTTAAGATATTTTTACTATATATTACATTAATTTATATTAATGATATTAATAATATATTTTTATTAATTGTTATAATATTAAATAAAAATATTATTTATTTTAATTTGCTTTTCTCTTGATTACATATTTACATCATTTATAATAAAAAAATATAAGATTTCTAAGCATGAAGATAGTGGAATGTCTATTGTTTATAAATAATAATAATAAGTTTTATTTATACTGACTTTTAATTATTAATAAATAAATAATTGAATATTACTATGAGAGTATAAAATTAAAATTAGATTAATATTAAAAATATTTAGATTGTATTTATAAGGTGATTTTTGCTGTAAGATATATCACAACACTACTCCATGTAACATTTGTAAAATGAAGATAAATTCTAACTTTTAACAGAAAGAAATTCATGTTAATTGTTCATCCTTTGCATAAATAAAGTGCCACCACTGAAGTTATGTTTTTATAATTTTTTATATAAAAATGAAAATAAATCGGGAATATAAAAGTAAGAGAAAGATTTAAATGCAAACAATATATACCAATGAAATTCACATATTTGTGACAAAAATTAATTGAAACCCAAACTTACCCCATGTCAGAGATGTGATAGGTTAAACCTTTGACTTGCAACCGAAAATGTCTTTTGAAAGTCAATAAAATCGGACATGCGTAAATACATCCCGCAAAATTTCGGTGAATAATACGAGAAAATTAATTTTAACATACACATAAATATTAAATTATATACATATAAATATAACGCAAATATAAATATTAAATAATAAGTAAAAAATTACTTTTTTATAGTTTGGAAATTAAACAGCTCATAAGAAGAGTGACAAAAGTTTATACTATTACATTTATGGTTGATTCCCAAAGTGCTTTTGATTTATTTTTTAAAACACTAAGTCTGCGCGATTAAGATAAATACTTTACATTTATTTTTATTATGAGATTATAATTCTTTTAATATTAACAAGCACAATTAAAGTAATGATTACTAGAATAATAAAATTAATATAAATCATTATTTAAACTAAAAAATAATATTTTTAAAACCTTATTTCATATTTACACCATCATTTCAACTGACATAAGTAAATATTCAAAATGTAAAATTTTTTTTAATGACTTGAAAATCTATTTAAAGGAAAATTATATACACTTGAAGCTTGTAATAAAATTTATAACCAAATAGTTATTTATCATATTTTTTTATTTAGTATCTATAATACGTGAAAAATAATGAAAATATTTTTCAAAAAAATTGAATATACAGATTTATAGATGCAACTTTTATAAATCAAAATTTATGAATTGAAAAAAAATAGTATTTTAAATAATTATTTTAAATAGAAAATTTATTCTTTATTTAAAGTTTTAAATATTTGTTTTCTCCAAATATTTTCTAATTAAAGTTATTAATTGTTTTAAAGGTAAAATAAATTATTTCTAGTTGAGAAAACATGAATTTTTTATTCACATATTATCTTTTGCTTTTTCATATTTCGATTTTGAATGAATAATATTTTTAAAAATAAGTGATGTAAAAATTATATTTTGTACAAATATTTTAAGCAACAATCTCTCTTGAGTAATACTTATATACTTTAAAAATTAATACATCATAATGAGTATCATTTCAGTATATTGAATTGAATTAAAAATTTTGTACTATGAAACATATATATATATTGTAAATAAAATAATTATATTCTACAATACGTATAATTAAATCAATGTCTAAGCAACTTAAACAATAAAATTTCATAGCTTAGCTAATTTATAGATTGAATATTACGAATGGATGGGGGTAGTGTTTAGTTTTATGTATTATTTCAGTATATATATTTATTTACATATATTAAATAACATAATAAATTTTTACAATAATTTTGTGTGTTAAAGGGCTAGTCTGTGTAAGAATTTAATTAAAAACAATTTATCCGATTTTTATAAAAATTTGTATATAATTTATACTTCTCAATTTCACTGAAGTCAAGAAATTAATTTTGTTACCAAATTTTACTACTTAAGGATTTGACCAATTTCGATAGTTGTTAATGTAAATTACCAATAATAAAAACATTTTAAGACAAATAAAGCAAATAAATAGTTTTTATTAAAAATAAAAATTTCCAAATAATTGCTTCCATATATATAAAAAAGATATATATGTCTTTTTTTTTAATTTATAATAGTATATCTCGGTATTTGCATATATTAATTTGCCAATAGTTTACATAATTTGAAGTATTAATTTATATAAGTTTAGAAAAAACACCCAATAATGTAAGAGATGAAAATAAGCTTTAAATAATATCCACAAAAGGATTGTAATATAGCTTTGACAGAAATGAACTAAATATTATACATGGCATAATGCAGATATCCTTTTAAAAATAATGTAATTGTAAAAGTTGATACAATATTTTTGCAAAATTTTAATACAACAAAATAACACAGTATATGTTTATATACAATGTTTTTTATTTTCTGGTTTGTAATTTTTGTAATCAATAGCATTGTTTATAGTTTTATGTAAATTAATCTATATGCACATATTGATAAAATATTTACGTAACTTAAAATACCTAATGAATTATCACTTTTTAACTGCTACGTCAATGTCAATGCAATTGGTAATAAAAATAAATCATAGTTTATTATTAAAGAATTTTTACCAAAACCTTAAAAATGTAATTTGTGATTAATAAAAAGAGATAAATGTTATTTAAAATACATTAGTATTATGTATAATTAATAACATTTTTAAATTTGTTTATCTTCTAAATATTAAATAATTTAATATTTCAAAAGACAAATATAAATATCAATTGATAACTTCAATTTCGTTTGAAATAAAATTTAAAATAAAAATAAAAAAATAAGAAAAAAAATTAATAACATTAAATACTTCGATTTAAATGAATATTTTTTAAATAAAATATGCTAATACAAAAATATACCTTGGATGCTAGTGTTATTATAGACGCGTAGAAGTAAATTAATACAGAATATTTTAAAAAATACTATAAAAGAAATTAAAGAAATTAAATTTGTATGCGAATTATGACAGTAGTATTATTCAATCAGAGATTACAATGTATATTATTAATATATTAAGTCAATCATTTTGTTTTTGTTTACAGGTATTTTTGAAATTGCTGAAGTAATTCTACTATAAATAATTACATTTGTAAAAATTATACTATCTTTAATCTAATCAATCATATTAGTTTCTACAATTTAAAATAAACCATTAATTATAACAAAATAATTGTATAAAAATATAGAAATTTATATAATTTTAAAACATTATTTAAAATATTAATAAGACATTCTATGGAAAATAATAAATATCAGTAAAAATGATTTTAATAAAATTTATAGTAACTCTAGATATACTCTAGAAATATATAACTTTTCCTTGTTCAAGGATGTTTAATCAATATTTTAGATCAAGATTTTAATCAATATTATTTAAATATGAATTTAATATAAATATATTAATCGTATCACCAAAAACTAATTATAAGTTAGCATAAAGCAAAACTGTAATAGTATATATTATACTTCTAGAAATATTTTAAAACATTCTAAGTTAATATTTAAATAATACTTTTATTTTATAGTGATAGACTGTAATAGAGATTAAAATGTAATCGGGATTTGACTAACCTTTCCTCTCGACATGACTATCTTGTACAGGATTACTACGGATGGCTTATTTGGGAATATCAAATTGTAGAAAAATAATTACTGAGATCTAGAATCATGTTGTTGTTTCATTGTATGTATTTACAATAGAAATTTTCAATTTAATCTATATTTAATATTTACAGAATATTTTTCCATGTGCATACAAGTATGCATAAATTTTTATTTAAATTACATATACAAATACACAAATATTTAATTCTTGGATTATGTTGATAATAGAATATTATAGAATAAAACTATTAAACCGATTAATATTCAAGATATGTACAAAACTTATTGACTTGACGCTGATCTTTCTAAAAATTGTATTATCTAATTTTAATTAAATTTTGTAAATCGAAGGTAAATATAAAAATATTGTCGTTCTGCTACTAGATGGATCATAAGATAAGTAATAAGTTTATTACAAAAGCATATAGCAATGAAATAATAAAAAAGGTAAGATAATTTCAATATTCAACTAATTTTACAAATATATATAAACAGGCAAATTTAAATCGCATTTATGGACAGAGGTATTTCAAAGTAAGGCGATACAATTTATATTCGTTTAACTTTAAAAGCATTTAATTACATCAATCAAAAAATTTGCATTTTTTATTTCAATGAAATTGCAACCGCCATTGGAAATTTTAATTGCAAAAATCTTAGATTCATAAATTTAGTAATAACAAGTAAATAAATATAAGTAATATGAATCCATGATTCAAGAACATGCTGCAATGCCTAGAGATTCCACAAGCTGTATTGCATTGTAATTGAATTGAAAAAAATTAATTAAAATATAATTAAAATTGACAAAATAAGTAAAAAAAATAATAAATAATGGTAAATAAAAGTAAAAGAAAAAAACAGTTTAATTAAATTACACAAGTAACATATAATATACTGGAATATATGTAGCAAGCATTTGTACTATAATAAAAGAAGTTATATGTATAGTTCTTCAAACTATATAAACTTCATTCAATAAAAATAGATTCTTCCAGAATTGTAGGCTACTCATATTCTAATAAAACAATATTCATCCAATACATCCCTTAAGTAGATTATAAAAATTAATTTAAAATAGTTCTTTATTTCTGACATTTGTGTAATAAATATTTCGAGCAGCTATATTTAACTAGATAAAGGAGCAAAGAGATATTGCGATGCTATTGAAAAATTAAGATATTTAAGATTTAAAGTAAATTTAGTTTATTTTATTTACATTAGGTTTCAAATTAGATTATTGCATTAGATTTCGAATTAGATAATCAGATTAATAGCAAACAATAGATTTTTGTAATTTACTTTTGTTCCTAAAAAGAGCCATTAAACCATAAGAGCCATAGTTTAATATTACAAGGCTTCCTTTTTTACATGTCCTTTCATAAAAATAAATTTCAAATTTTCAAGAATATATTATCAATTTGTTTTGTTTCTAATTCCACCGAATAATCTTTATTTTCTCAACAATTAATATTATATCTTATATATAAAATATTAATAAAACACATATACGATATTTAATATATTAAATATTTATGTAATATACAGTAAACGTAGGACTTAATTTATTAAAATATTTTAGAATGTTCTAAATCGATATATGGGTTTTTTAAATTATATTTTATTTTATTATAATATGTGGGGTATATATTAAATTTAATCGTGATTTATTTTTAATTTTTTTTCCATTTTTATCGATGCAGTACAGCAGCTTACAGTTACTTATAACCAATAAATAATTTTCTATATTAAACGTTATAATAAAAACCGATGTAAACAATAATCTATGAGTTATCTAAAGACGAAATCTAAACTGCTTGTTTTTATTGGATGTATTTCACAAGCTTCATTTAAATATTAATTTTAACGAATGTAAAGTATTTATTTTATAATACAATTAGATAAATAACAAACCAGAATTTAATTTGAAATCCATGGTGTTTAATTTCTTAATTACAGATTTAAAGAAAACTGCAATTCAAATTTTGTTAAACCTGCACTAAATACATCATTTTTAGTCTTTAAAATAAGAACATAACACTATTATTCTACTTCGAAAAAAATGGAAAATTATTATTGTTTTTTTATTTTAAATTTATAGAAAATGTTTTTTATCTTTATTTTGAATTTTGAATGAAACGATGATATAAAAGCAATCAAACACGATTGTTAATAGATTAAATCAATTCATTAGAGTAATGTTATAGCGATTTTTATTGCAAGCGAAATTAATAATCATAAAGTATAAAATACTTTTACTAAAAAAAAAATACTTTGATTTGTACATATTAAATTCAGAAATAGTTTATTGCATAAATCAGTTACAGTATAGTAATATTGTAAATGATATAATACATTATCAATTACTGTTTAAATGCAAAAACCGAAACTTTTTATTAATCATAAAAAGTTTTACAATTACTTATTAACATGTTTTTAAATTTAATGAATTGATGTGTCATTATAATATGCATACAATAGGGATGATAAAAAATTGATATTAATGTATGCTTAAATATTGTTTAACAGATATTTCTTTTCATATAAAATCAATAAAAAAAAAATGTAATGAAAATTATAAAATAGAATTATTTATGACGCACATATTTTGACATGTACTATACGTAGACATAATTCTGTATACCAACATTCCTTCTTCAAAATTATAAAAAATCGAATAGTTGAATAAAATTTCGCCGCAAGAATAAGTATATTTTTATTTTAAACAATAAATTTTAAAATAATAAAAAATTATATATATATATATAAATTTTCATAATATACTTACATCCTGTAAGCATTCAGCGTTTTAGACATATCCGTTCTACCCATTGGTAAAATTTATCCCTTCTACACTTTTGTAACTAATCCAATTAAACTACAAGCGTCACTTTTGATTCACATATCCGACTTAGAAAATGTACAAATATAAAAGTGAAAAATACGTTGATAAATCACTCTTTTTTCCTTTGCTATCCTTCCTTCTTCACTTGGTCTTTCAATCCTATTGATATGATAAAAATGTAACTATATATATATATAGGCACAAACTTTTTTTAACAACTGTAAACTACTTCTATACCATGTTGACTTTTTATTTTGTTTTTATTCTGTACAGCTGCACTAGAATTTTATATTGTCTAACCTACATCGGCAGGGTCTTTATAATTTTTTATGGCAATGAACTAACGCGAGCGAGGTTATAATAACGACACTTTAAGTAAAAAAAAATAAATATATTTATATACATACTGTTACCGTGAATGTCTGTACTTAAGTACATAAATAAACGTAAGCAACAAAATACATGTATAAGTATATAAATATAAATTAGATGGTGATGGAGATAATTTATAATTAATATATATTAGATAAGTCACGATGCACATACCGCACCGTCTAGCGTTTGATGTACTGATGATATGACAAGGGCTGTTGGATATTCTTACCCCTCCAATTTACCATCGTCGCGCGCATTAAAAAAAGTTATATGGCGACTGCGCACACCTCGTATATTATATTTTATTAAAATATCTATTTGTATATAAATATAAACTGGATTTAATATTTATATTAAACAAACGTGATTTTAAAAAGGAATATATTTAAATTATAATTTACCATATCCAAACATTTTAGATTGACATTAAAAAATAATTAATTGTTTAATGTAAAACATAAAATATTAATTTAAAATAGAAACATTTCAATGAAGAAAATAAATCAGTAGAGCAGTGGATTTAATAAGATAAATTTGCTAAAATGTTACTTATGCAGGTTGAATTGCAAGTTATTATAATTTTATTTAGTTATAAATGAATAAGGATTTTATAAATTTAATTAAAATTTAAATCAGTTTCACAACACATATTTAATAAATTATAGAATTATTTTCAATACAATAAAATAATTATTCTATCGATCTATAACACTTTTGACATTATTAATCACAATGAATGATAGTCAAATCCATATATATGAATTAGATTTAAATAATTATATAAATAATTGTGTTAAAAATGATATATTGTATAATAAATTGTATCATATAAAATACAAATTTTTATATTGATATCACAAAATCATACATCTTTAAAATACTAAATCATAATGTATATTAGATAGAAAAATAATAATTTCCATAGATTATATTAGAACATAATGCAAGTAAAGGTAAAACAATTTAAACTACAAAATCATGTTCTAACACAAGTTTTATCAAACATCGAAATCTATATATTTCCATTATGTGGTAGTATTTCTTGTGAACGATGAAAAAACTAATATTAAAATTTTATTCTCTTTATGGCTAATGTGATGTATAATAAAAATAAAATTTTTACATTAACAATTATAAATATTTGTATGTATTCATTTTAAATAGATAATATTTACGGAATTATATCACCGTAATAGTAAAAAATATACAATTCAACCATTTTTGTTAAAAAATATATACGATTAATATGCTTTTTGAATAAAATTTATATATTTTTAGTGTTTTCAAAAAAAAAACATAGTTAAAGATAATATTTTATTTATAAACTTTTTAACGGGCGCTAAAATATTTATTAATTTGAAGTAAACATAAAGTTACAAATGTAATAATATAAAATATTATTAAAACTAATACAATTAATTGCAAATTTATTTGATTTTAAAAACTTTCAAACTGCAAAAATCCAATATTACACTGTAAAATTTTTTAAATTCCATTTTACAGCGTCTTTCAAATCTTTCAGGCAAATATGCACGGAGAATCGAACCTATATAATCAAACCCTAGTAAAATAATCAGGATAAATATGAATAATTGTTATATTAGAACATTTATATACATCAAAATTATTTGTAATTTTTATTTATTCGTACTTAATACTACTTATTTGCAGACAAATTACAGGAAATGTGATACTAATTTTTAAACGTGCATTTAAAGTGTAATAATTTATATAAAATTATTATATACAATGTTTCAATTTATATATATTTATTGAATATATATTTATCATAATACACTGTATATAATATTCAATAAGCCCATCGTCATAATGTTTTAAATAATGTACCGTTTAAATCAGTAATTTATTTATTTATTTTTAATATTATTAATAGTAGAAAGTAATATAAAATAATTAACTATTGCTGTTTGTAATCATTAGGAAAATAAAAGCTGAACTAATTCTATTCTTGTATAATACTTTTGATTGAGGTAATATTTAATTATTTAATTTATTAAAGTACTGTGGGTAACAAAAATGAACAAAACGAATAATTTTTTTTAGTTGAAAATTTGTTGATGACTTTGAAAGCATAATCTAATAGTCACTAACAAAAAAAAATTGAATTTTTGGTTACATATTCAAGTTTCTAAACTCATTTATAAGAATTGCAAATTAAAATATATTCTCACAATTCTTTGAATAAAAATCTGAAAAAGTGATTCAGGATCGCAATCTGAAATAATTAAAAAAAAAATTATATTTCCAATTGTAATATTAGTTAATATTGTATATCTATTTTCGAAATAATCTGTAATAATTAAATTAAATTAAGTAATATTACTTTAAATATAATAAAACCATTTAAATAATAACATAAAATAATAGTGTTTGGTAAATTGTTTAGCTAATAATACAGTAATATGGTATATTAAATAATATATTTTCTATATGTATATGAAAAACAAAACAGCCTCCACGAGAACATAAACATGCATACAAAAACAAGGAATTAAAGATGTGCTTAAAAAATAGTTACTAAAAACATCAATTTGGTGGATTTAAATCAAATAATAAAATTCGTAAATTGGAAATTTTATATAATATAATTTGACAAATTTAATTTTAATTTAAAATATTATTATATTGTATTTTTATTATTTTAAGAATAGTTTTTAAATAAAATTCAATTTAAAAAATAATCCAATTTGATGCGCTTAGAATAATTTTTAATTAATTAAAATTGATTTTAATATAAAAATTGATATATGAATTTATATCAATTTATTAAGTAAAATTAATATATGTTATAGATTGTATTTTAATTGATTTCGATTTTAAACTATAAATTTAGTATAATTACAGATTATAAAATGGTGGATTTCAATTATTTAAAATCCCTGCTTTATACATTTTAGAATATGTTTCAACTCATATTGCTATAGATAACTTTTTTCTAATTATAAAACTTAGATAAAAAGAAAAAATTTAAAAATATTATTTAATCTTTATTGTTTGTCCATGTTTCTTAAACAGTAGATAACTAACTTAAAAAATTGAAGAATAGTTATATTTTTTATAATAAATTTATGAAACTAATAATTTCATGGTTGATTTTAAATAAAAATTTTTTAAAATTATTATTAATAGCATACAATAATAATATAGTTTATACACAGTAATATAAAGTATTTGTAATTATATAGTTAAAATAATTATACAATTTAATAAGAAAATATCCTATACGAGTAAAATAACGTTTATGTGAAAATATGAAATATATTCATCAGTTATTCATTAGCGATAAATACTGTCTTTATCTTCAGTTAGCATAATACAATAGTATTACACTAACAACAATAAAAACATAAAATTCTTGATACCTGTTAGAACATATAGATAGTTAAATACAAAGTTCAAATAAAATATTAAATAGTTATTAGTGTCAACTGCATAAACTTGACACATACTGTACCAAATAGTATCAAATTTAACATAATTAGAAAAGAAATTAACTCTTTATAGAAAAATGAGCTGCTGCTTAAATTAACGCATGCAATAATAGACGAATCACTTAAAAATTACATCGATTTAAATAATTTTCTAATTAATAATTCAGTTATATTATTAATTTATTTTTCAACAAAATTTCTAATGAATTTCTAATTATGTATTTTCTAATTATTTATTTATAAGATTACAAATAAAAATTACTATTAATAATTACTGATTATCATTTTAAAAAATCATGAGTTGCATTTAAGAAAATGTTAAAAAATTTCAGTTTTTACAATCTTGTTTTACATTTTCCTTCTCTAAAAACAATTTAGATTAAAAGCTTAAATTTTGAGGAATTTATTATTAAACACAAAAATTAATTTTTGTTAATAAACTATTTTAATTAAAAATAGTTAATTCAATCTTTATATAAAGATTTGTATAAAATACCAAGTTACATAGTCCATTCTCATTTTAACATTTATAAACTTTCAGCTATTATAAATTTATTTCTCTATACATGCACGAATCAAATTAATCAATACTTATAAGAACAGATATTATACTTAGTTTAAAAAAATTCATAATCATTAAAATGTCTATATAAATATTATCGAAATGATAAGATAAATCAAATACGAAAGTTCCCTAAAATAAACATTTAGAATAATTGAAATTTAAAAATAATCAAACAATATGTTAAGCTGTACAAAAATACCTACAATACAGATCAGCAATGAATAATATAATTTTTGATAAAATTTTTTTTCTTGACATAATATATAAGTAATTTATAAAACATTTTTGGAGTACAAAAATATTATTTATTTTAATCTTATATATTTATTTATTTTAGTAATTAAAAGATTTTATTTTTACAACATTGAAGGTATTAATGATCAAAACTTTACAATATAGTTTAAATAAGACTTTACAGATATCTTATGAATTCTATCAAACAGAAATAATAAAAACAAAAAAAATAAATATTTTTTCACATTTTATTATCTATTTTATTAATCTATTTACTAAAACACGTTACTTAATTGACTAAATTGAGTGATAAGTTACACTTACGTCTAAAAAATATTGTACATTATTAAATAATTACTATAATGAATTATACTTGTATTTGTTTTAGCTTATGTATTTTTCATTTATTAAATAGCATACACAAGAAAATGACTATATTCTCAATCGTTAAATTTTAATTTGGATTAATAAAGTAAATGAAAAATGACAAATTATATAGTTGAAATACATAAATGAAGCATTTATAAGAATGTTAAAAATAAAATTTTAAGATGAAAATTGAAGAAAAAAATGTAAATAAGTAATATTAATAATAAAAACTTTAATAATAACATTTTTTTATCTAATATATTTTTAATTTAGATATTTAAGGTAATTAAAAATATATTCATAT